AATGCAGACTAGAAAATTGGCAAAGGAAGCAACTAGTAAAATTGCAAGTTTGTGGAAAAAAGTAGAAGAGAGTAAGAATAAGCAACGGTTTGAGAAATCAGATACTAGGCAATGGGTACAGCCTGGCAATTGTGCCAATGATGTAGATGCTCCAATTTTAGTGAGCAATCCACCAACTTTTAGATTGTTCCGTAGCTCAACATTTGAAGGAGTACCCCAAGAGAATGATAACCCTGAATCAGCTTTGTACAAATCTAAATTGAAAAGACCATTGGTAATGGGTGTGCAACCTAGTAAAGTGAAGTATAGAAACTCTTGTGATTTAAGCGGAATGAACGCGAACGATGCTCCTTGCAAGATTCCTGTAAAGTCTAGCGATGCTTCTACGTACAAGAAAGATACCATAGACATAGGTGATGCTTCAGTTGTTTTACGAAAATCACATACTGAATCCTCCACGATAGAAGTAGATCCTACGAAACGAATATCACGTCTTGGTTCCTTTATACGAGTAGATTCTGCAAATGGAGAAAGTTCTGCACAAACATATGTTAGTGGGGCTGGTATGCGTACACCCGCATCCGCCATCGTACCGCCTTTTAATTATAATCCGAAGCAAGATATTCCACAAGCAGCCAAAGTAACGCCTGATGAAACTGAAAGCAAATTCAAAGTGACAGATTGTCATAGTGACATAGTCACAGCTTCTACAAGAATAACAACAGTATAGTGGGAATTTGTTATAAAATAAATAATTCTTTTTCATAGTCGCTTTTCTGTTTCGGGCTAGTCATTGTACATTTGCTTTACTGCTGTATTGATCATGCAGTACATATTAAGAGTACTTGATAAGTAAAGTTTTCTTTTTTTACCTCATCATTTAAAGGGCACCGAAAATCTTCATGGTATCTCACTAATTTTTACATACTGAATATAAGAAAATAATTAATTGAATATTTTTCTTTATTATGCATGTGCATTGCAATGCAATCTTTTTTTTTTTAAAGAGATATAATTAGAATGTGACATAGCTGGAAATCCTGATCATTCCTATTCACTTTGCGTGTTGTATATACATATATTGATAAATTTCATGATTATGAAGAAAATTAAAAATCGGTAGTACGTAGCAGTAATTATGCTCGATTATTTATTCAATTTTGTATATATTGAACGTCGATGAAGAATGTAGAAAGTTTAGTAATATGTATCACGACTCATGATGTATATCGCAGAAAATGTGTCGCTGTACATCTTCGTAATAGATAAATTTGCAAGGAAGAAGATCTGTATTTTGTTTCCATCGTAAACTGATTTGTATTCTTCTAAACAAATATAAAGTTTAATTACTTTTTAAAGACTGATAGAAACATGATGAAGATTCGGATGAAACCGAAACATTTTCAACACAACAAAATGTTATGGTAAAAATGGTAATAATGTTTATATCAATTTAGCGGTCTAAGTAACGCTAAACTGGCATTACATGAAAAGACAAAATTTTGTAAATCCTTATATTAAGTTTCTAGTCTATTTGAAAATCTACAATTAAAATAGCTTCTATTTTGGTCATATATGTATTACATAAAATCGATTTGCATGTACAAGTGTCCACTGATTTAACTGGTACCCTTTCTAAAATATATGTAGGTACAATTAAAGAGTGTGTACGGATCAATTATGTATTTATAGATTGAAAAGTTTAAGGTATGGCGTTTAATAATTTTATTTTCTTATTCATATTTTCTTCATTATTTTCTAGTTTTACTAGAAAATTTGCTATAATATTTGAAGCGATCAATAATGCGTACAATATTTTAAGTTTTTTTCTATATCGTGTCATCTTTCGTTCTATATGCGCATATGCAAATCAATCTAAAATCTTATTAGAAGGAAACTGTTTGACACGATATAGAATAAATTTTATTGTTCGTTAATTATATATTTATTATACGCATTTTACCCTGTTCCAGTTCGAGTTAATTAGATTTAACCCTTCCAACTTGGAGTCATATCAGGGTATCCTTGTATTTTTTTTCATACAAGATATGGTCTGTACTACACCAGAAATCCTTTTCAAGATTCTTTCATAATTTTCATCTTTTACTTAGATTTTAAGTGTAATTCATCTTTTGTTATATTATATTTTAGATTCGGCGAACATCTTAATAATTTGTATATTAATAATTACAGTACAATAAAATTTATAGCTACTAATATCTATTTTGTTTAATGTCAAATCAATTATTTAATCAAATAATTTTATCATAGTAAAAAATGTGTTCTATTAAAATATTAGATTATTAAATAAAATATAACATTTTATTAAACCATGTAATATGTATACACAGGATAATTTTAATTTTTATAAAAATGTAAGACACTTTTGAAGAATGGATCTATCGAAACAATAAAAAAAAGTTTATAAAATATATATATTCGATAAGATTTAGTTAATAAATTAAAAATGATAAAATTTTTTTTTTTAAAATGAAATATGTTGTATAATTATATTACATGATATTTATATATATTGTATATTACATTATATTAAAATTAAAAAATAGTTATTTGTATAATCTGTATATTTAAAATAATATTTTAATCATTCAGTTCCATTATGCAGGAGTTTATTATATATTATATTCCATACGCTCAACTTAGTGTTCTTATTTTATTAAATTTGAAATACTTATAATTTGATAACTAAACCTTATTGCACCTATGTGCATATATTTTTTTTATCTTTTGATCTCGTGAATCCACCCGCTAAAGATGTCTCACATTTTTATAAACACCTGTATATATAAAATAGTTATTTAAGAAAAATTTATTTATCATATAATGGACATTCATAAAGATTAATAGATTTATCCTCAGATACTGATGCAATTATATTATTTCTTTGTGGATTGTACTTTACAGCCCATACCTAAAAAAAAGAATATTTAAATTTTTATAAATCCATAATAAAAATTTTGCAAATTATTTTTTCCATCTTAAATTATAATAAAAAATCTATAATATTGCTTATAATACAATATCTCACTTGATCATTATGTTCATTAAATGTATGTAAACATTGTCTTTGGGCTAGTTCCCATACTTTAACTGTATGATCTGAACTACTAGATGCAAACTGTTGACCATTTGGAGCAAAAGCAACACCAAGTACCCATGAAGCATGACCTGACATAGTTCCTGCTAAATTAGCATCTTTCCTATATAATAAAATAAAAATGTAATAAATGTTTCTCAATTATATGTGTAATTTATTTTGGAACTTTGAATTTTGAACTTACACATCATACAATTTCATATGTCCATCATCTGATGCAGTAAGAAGTAACTGAGAATCTGGAGAGAAACAAAGAGACCTAATAGGCATTGCATGCCCTAAAATATTTAAATTATATATTATTAATAAATTGTTAACAATAAATTAACAAATATTTAAAAAAGTAATTTTTATTACCTTCCAATGTACGCAATACTTTTCCATATGTAACATCAAAAATATTTATAATTCCATCTATTGCACCACTAGCAATATATTTACCATCAGGACTCTAAAATAATTATATAATATAAAAATTATTAGTTTTACATAATAAAATTATATAATATACATTTTTAAAATACATACATAAGCAACACTCAATGTAAATTTGCCACCTCTGGTATCTAAAGTTTGTTCCTGTTTACCACTTTCTGTTCCATATAAATGTATTTTCCCTGAATGACTACCAGATACAATGAATTTATCATCTGGAGAAAATACTACTGTCCAAATATCTACAGGGCCTACTTCGATACTTGAAATCTTATTTCCTGTTTCCAAATCCCATAATTTTAAGCTAGAGTCTAATGAACTTGATGCACATTCTAAAAATAATTATCTCATTTTATATCTCATTTTTTTATTTTATTAACATTGCTTTCTTTTTTTTTTTTTTTAATACTTACTTAAACCATCTGAACTTACAGCAACAGATACCACACCAAGTGAGTGACCAGTTAACTTATGTTTTAATTGTAAATTTTTATCTTTTTGTTCCCAAACTTTAACAGTATCGTCAACTGAGCCAGTGACTAAATATTCCACTATTTCATCTTCATTAAATTGTATTGATTCACTATTGTAATAACAAAAATTTTATAAAAAATATAAAATATTAAAAATTGCATAAAAAGTAATTACCGTGAATCTTCATTATCCGGCTGTGATTCCTTTTTCTTCTTCAAACAGCCCCAAGCACAGGTCCAAATACTATCTTCGTGAGCATTTTCTGTTTTATTAAGTAAGGAATACTGAAAAAATTTCGAATTCGGCTTTGCAACTGTTGTTATATCATGTTATATCATGAACGATATAACCTTTATATCGTAATAATTTCCAAATTTATATATGTATCTCACCATACTAGAATATATGTATCTTCCAGACAATATTATTAAGAAATAATTTTAACTTAATATATATATATATACATATATATAATTTTTTCTTTATGGAATGAACGATTGATATAACTTCTGTAATTTCGTATATAATATCTTTAGTAAAAGTTGATTGAATAGCTATATGATTAAAAGGGTTAAATTAAAAATCGTAACCTTTTTTTTTTATTCGCGATTTCGATTAAAACAATTTATTTTTAATTTTTTTTATATAATATTTAGTAAATTTCTAATATTTCAAAAAGATTCAAATAATTTGATTCAATTTTAAAAAACTTCATGCGTAGACAAACTTATCGAATCAGATGTGTTTATGTTGAAAGTGCTCTTAAAATTTTTAAAAATAAAAAAAATAATATATAAAATATAAATGAGAAAACCATAGAAAATTATTAATAATTTTAATGTTATTATTACACTATAGAATTTAAAAACTAAAAAAAGTTCCTTTCATACATTATAATTATTTAAATAATTATAACCTTTTCTGACTTATGTAAAAAATAAAAGTTCTAAACTATTTTTGTAAGAACATGATCTACTAATAAAAAAAAATGGAACATAAAATATTAAAAATATTTAACTCTAGTAAAATAATATATGGATTTCGAAATATTGTAATACAAAAGCGATTTTTTTTTATCAGAAGCATATCGATGTGAGGAAGCATGGAAAGATCGATTGCAATCACCGTTGCTGCAAAAATTTAAATCAGACGATTTATTTGTTATTTTGGACAATAAATTCCATACTGATAAAAAAGTTAGTGCAGTAGATATAGATATATTTGCAAATAGCTTAAATAAAGAAGATCATGTAGAAGAATTGTTAAGTCTACTCCAAAAATTGAGGAAAACTGCAGAAACATCGAACATATTAGATTCAACACATCATGCTGTTATAAGATATTTATTAGATAATAATTATACTAAAGAACTTATGAATGTATTACATAATAGACTTAATTATGGTATTTTTCCTGATTATGTCACTTATAACATACTCATGGATACATATATAAAAAAACAAGATTATACCAATGCTGCAAAAGTTGCTGTTTTACCTATGTTACAAGAAGAGTCTGAACATTTAATAACTAATGCATTATCTGTATATGCTTGTCACAAATATTTAGAAAATCCAAATAAATGGCAGAAACCACCAGAACCTATAGACAATACTAAAGAAGAAATTAAAATACGTGTAGCTTATCTTAGAAATCCTTATTTTGATGACCATTTTGATCTTACTGATCCATATGATTTAGTTGGAAAAACATTAGCTTTTCAAGGAAGATTTATGAATAATGAATTAGGAAGAACTTGTCAATTAAGAGGCTTAATATTATATAAAAAATATCAAGATGCATTAAAATTAATAAAAAAATGGATAAATGAAATTGAAGGAAATATTGTTTACAAAGAAGTTTTTGATTTGATTGAAAAAGATAAAAAAAATGTATTTCAAGAACAAGTAACAGATGAGTTTGAAATTTTAATGTCAGAAGTTAATTTAATAAAAGAAAAGAATTTGTGTACAGATAATTTAATTAATGTATTAGAAAATAATATCAAATCTGCAATTGAAAAACAGCATGATATTGATATAAATGAACAAATGCAGGTAATCAATATTTTTTTATGAAATATAAAAGAAAGAATATTGATAATATATAATATTAAATCTATTATTTATGATTTTATTTATTAATTAACTTTACTTAATTCTTTAGAAATATGTAGAGTGGGAAAAACAGAGACAATTAATACTAGATAAACAAATAGAAGAAATAAATCGAATAGCTAAAAAAGAAGAAATAGAGAAATTAAAAGAAGAAATGGAAAAGCAAGAACGATTTTTGACTTTCTTTGAAAATGAAGAAGATATAGAACTGGAAATAGAGAGAATAGAAGAACATGAAAAGAAAAAAATGGAACAAATTCTTAAAATACCTCATGCTAAGAAGAAGTTGAAGAAATTAGAAGAAGAAAAAGAATATACACCACCTAAGATTTAAAGTTAAAGAAAGTAATTTTTGATATATTTATAATTGTTATAAATAATAAATGTATAATTAAAATATTATTTGGTAAATTATTTAATATTGAAAAGGATCATAATAGTAAGAAATATACAATATATATTGTTACTCATCTCTTGTATTTTGTACATCATAACTTAAAAGTATTTCCTTAAATTACATTATGTTCATTACATAAATTTATAATAGATAGATTCACTTATTTCGTATAAATATGAAAGTTAACTGTACAATTAAAGTTTATATACTAAAAAATTATTAGGCTCTGTAACAAATAATGTTCCATTTGAGCATTGATATTGAATTTGTCACAGACTTGGCCCTTTTATGAACAAAATTAGCATTATATTTGGACCAAGGCACACATTTAACAATTATTTCCAAATTTACAAAGACTATTTTATAAGCAGCAATATATTAATTTTTGCATAATTATAAAATTTAGTCTTTGTAATGTGTATTCATTCATATGTTTATACGGAATGTTCTGTAAATATAATACAATAATCTTATATGGTTTGTGTTTCAATATATGTTTCGTATTGTAAAATATTTTTTTTATTAAGATTTTGCAGATTCTTCTTTCAATATTAATAAAATTTTTACCTGGTCGTTGTTATTATAAATAATACATTGTAATATCACAGATTATATCAAAATCACGAATTTTTATTTTGTAATTGTGCTGTTAATTCTGCTGTTTCTTGTTTCATTTGTTTCAAATCAGCAGTTATCCTTTCTAAATTTGCTCCAATATTTTTTGTAGCTTCAGAATCAATCTAAAGCGAAATAGAAAAAGAATTACATTTTAATTATATCATGTTTCAATGTTTTTTATAATAATGTAAATTATAATCAATTATATTTATTATATGTATATTTTAATTACCTGTTCTTCTAAATCTCTTATTTCTCTTATAGTTGCACCTGTTTCTTCTACTAAATTTACAAGTTCACTACAATCAGAATGAAGTGTAGCTAATAATTTATAAGCTTTCCTTGATGCCTCATTTGTTCTTGCATCTCGAAATATTAATTCATCAGCAACAGTAAAGGATCTTTCTAATCTGCCTGTAAGTGTATTTATTTCTTTTTGGATTTCTCGTGTATCAACTAATACTTTATTAATTTCGTCTCTTTGTTTTCTAATATTGTTAATTATTTCTAAAATTCGTTGAGTATATGCGGACCTATTTACTTCTTTTGAAAGTTTCTGAACTTCTGTTACCAATTGTGAGTATTGTTGATCTTTATTGCGACATTCTTCTTGTAGTTCCTTTTCCTTTTCTTTTAGTAACTTAATATCATCAAGTTTCTTTTGACTTGCATTCTATATATAATAATCAAATTCATGAAATTTTTTATTTAACAAATTCTATTTTATATTTATATTATTTATATTTATATATAGAATAATACTTACAGCTTTAGTAGAATGCTTTTCCCTTTCTTGTCTGTATTTTTGAATTAGAGGTACTCTATGTTTTTCCCATTGATTACCTAAATTAATTAATTTATTTGTAGTAGCTTCAATAGCTGCTTCTAATTTCTTAATATTCTCGTCACCATCTTGAAATAAATCATAAATTCTTGCTTTAATCTTTTTTTGTTCTTCATTGATTGTTAATTTTTTTTCCTCATTTTGATAATTTATTGTTGCTTGTGTTACACTAGTTGTTAAATTCTTGATTGCAATTTGCAATTCTTCTATATCTTTTCTAATAGTTTCACACTCTGTTTTTATTTTTTCTATTTGTAAGTCTTGTTTTTCCGTTTTATCTATTATTTTTTGTTTTATAAGTTTAGTTTCTTTAGCATTATTATTTTTCATTTGAAGTTCCTATGACAAATAAATAAAAAATTAATAAAGTAATATAAATATAGAATAAAATTATAAATATTATTTTTATTCATTTTTCTTAAATTTACATTAGAAGATAATGTTTTGTCTTGTATTGGGACTCTATTTAAAATATTAATGTCACTAGATTCATTAACTTCAATAATTTTATCACAATATTGTTTATTTAACCAATTTATTTGATCAAGAATACTCATTGAATGTGAATGGTGAGCCCTTGCATTGTAGGATATCAAAGATGGTAGAAGTGTCATTTCATTTTGCATTTGTTCAGGCACAGATTGCAAATAATGTATATAATAATCTTGATATTCTATAATAAGAAAAATGAAAAATATTATTATAATAATATTATAATAATATAATAATGAAACTCATTGTAAAAATAAAAGCAATATTACCTTCTTTATTTTCTCCTTTTCTTATTGTTGAAACTTCTAAATTTACAGACTTATATGGAATTCTTGCTCTTCCTCTATTTCTAAATCCCTTTGTATGACAATAATGTGGTAACCATGGAGCAGAAAGGCTCTGTGCTATTGCTCTTGCTATAGATTTTTCTAATAATACAATATTACTAACAGGTTCACTTAAAGATTTATCACTTTCTTTTGGTAATTTTTCAATAAGAAACATAAAAACTTTTCGTAGATCAGTTTCTGAACTATATAAAAATGTTTGATAGCCAACGTCAGCTTTGTATCCTAATTCCTAAAGAAAAAAATTTATAAAAAAATTTATCAATAAAGACATAAAAAAAACAAAATTGTAAATAATTGAAATTCTTATATTCATAAAATCTTACTAAACATGCTTGAGCAAGTGTAGCACCCAATCGAAATCTGGCTGCCATATTCATAGGTAAAACTGTTGATAATCCAAGGCCTGGTTTTATTATATCCAAGCATTTTACTGTTGCTTTTATTATTAATTCTGTGTTAAAACCACTAAGATTTGTTATATTTTCTTCTATGTCACTAAAAAAATTAATGTTAGAAAATTTTCAAATTTTGTAATAAATAGTATTTTGTTTAATTTTTAAAATTGCTAAAAGAGACATTTTAAATTTAATTATATACATATGATACATATGTTGAATTAATGTTATATAAGTTAATAATTAAAATTAACTTAACAATATTTATAATTAAAAGAAATCGTTAATGTCTCATGTGTACTTACAATTAGTTTATAAATTATCACATATTTTTGCAATTATTTAATAATTGTAAAGACTTGTAATATCTTAAATAATTAATATCATTTATTTTTTATTCAAATTTTATCGTAACTTTTTTATTGTTTCTGCTTGATAAAACAAATTATGAATTATGTATTTAAAAATATAAAATTTAAAACAGATAAATATCGCTGCCCATTTTTAATTATACAAACCGGTTGACATCAGATACCAAAAATTTTCTAGATGCGTATAAAATCGTTCAGAAGAACACTCACCAGCCTATTTGACGCAATGAGTGAATTATTATATTGTCAACCTCCTCCATCATCCGTAAAAATGTGAAAATTCTAAATTCTTCTACTGTATTGTTATATCGAAAGATATTTAAGTTGAATTGCACAAATCTAACCTGTTCATGAGCGAACAAACATTTGCACAATGCAAATATATATAGATGGCGTAATAAAAATTATCAGTTTTACCAACACAAAATACATTTATCCTTCATATATTGATCGTTTTACTATTTTTTCATACTTATTTATATTATAATCTTTAAAAAAATTAATGTTTGAAAAACATTTATTATTGAATATGCATTAAAAATATAAAATAAATATAAATTTCATTTCTCAACATATTAGAAATATATAGTCCGAAGTTGCATAAATATAATTATATAATAAAACTATTGTTAAATAAATTCTTTTGGTAACATTTATAAATTTTGATATATTTTAATAAATAATAAATATTATATAAAATATTATATAAAAATCAAATTATTTTATTGCTTAATTTTTGTGAATAAAATATTACTAATATTATATATTTAATATTCTTTTTTTAAGTTTGAGAAAATTTCGTAATTTAAAATTACGCGCCAATTTTTAGCGCCAACTATACGAATATAACGATTCGTAAGCAAGTTCATGTTGTAAAGTAAAGATCAATTATTCGCGGCGAAAGGTCCGCACTCCGCGGAGTTGTGCGTTACGTTCTGTACGCGTCAACATCAGCTGTTGTTTCGCGTGAAATGACAGTTTCGTGGAGGTTCATAATGTGGAAATCATTTTCGTGAGGCTGCTTCGTGTATCGCGGAGGTGAGCCTTTTCTTCTGGATAAGATGAACGGAAGTCTGGGAATAATGCGCGGACCAGAGCAACATCCACAGAGGTTCGCGGATTATTTTGTCATATGTGGACTGGACAAAGATTCTGGCTTAGAGCCAGATAAATATTTCGGTAAGTTTTACATTTTTTTCTCGTGTATCTTAAATAAAATATGCAGATTCATTAAAATGACCATTTATTATTTATTCAATTTTTAATAAATTAAATCACTGTTATAAATGTTGAATAGTTTTCATATTCTAACAAGAAGACTTTGCTACTGTTGCAATTTTCGAAATCACTATGTTGCGCAATGCTAGATAATATATCTCAAACTAATAAATTGTACTAGTTATTTATGATTGTATTCAAAAATCTAAAAAGATATATTCTTTATTATTTTCTTATTATCAGTTTATCAAGTTTTTTTTATAATTGATTGTAAGATTAATTTCTCACTAATAATAATAGATAATAATTTATATTTATATATAGTGCATAAATTGTATAGCTATTATTTTATTTGCACGTGATTGACACGTGAATTTCAATCGATGTCATTGCACTCCTTACAAAATAAATATATCGTTTTGTATTCGACAAATTATCCGAATATATTATAAATTTTTTCTCGATAAAATATAAAAAATGATATTCATTGAATATTTATATGTATTATATTTTTTGTAGCAATATTTTTATGAATGATTATTTTATTTTTGACGTGTTTTCAAAAACAAGTAACCATCAATGTCAAATAAATCGTATAATCTCATTAAATTAATAACATAAATGGAAGCCGCATTTAATAGAATTCTAAATACTCGATAATAATCAAGTTCAATATTGTGTATATTTTTAATTTTATATTTTTTAATGCCA